TTTCTCTTAGGACATATATTGGGTGAACAATTCTCTTGTGACATATATTGTGTGAACAATTCTCTTGGGACATATTTTTGGTCAACAATTATTAAAAATACTCTATGTTTGCGTACGTGTTTAAATAAACAACACAGATATTTTCTATACGCTTAGTCTTTCTTTGCTTTGACAAATTGTAATATATCAATCAATGGACATAACAAAATCGACTGTGATTCGAACGCGGTTGTCTTAATTTCTATTACGAGACGATAGCCATTTCCCTACAAGACACATCCTTTGGCAGAATATCGACGTAATATAATACCAATACTATGTAGAACCTTGTTGAGCTTTATTTTACTAATTCAGCTTTGGTGCTGAAAAACGTTTATTTTATTGTGATGTCTGGTCATAAACGAGAGGGGAGATGGAGTATTCTTCTCTTATTACCACATCAAGTATGTTGGAAAGATCTCGCAGTAACTGAATAAACAGTCCCGTAAAATAGGAAATGGTCATATTTCAAACAATGCTTTGCTCGGAAATTCTCACCCAACTGAACACTCGTCTCATCCGGAGTACCTACCCCTGATTTTCCCACCATAGGACGGAGGCTCTATTGATTGAGAAGAGAATAACCCTGTCGATGGTTTTAGATATCATCTCTAAATTAGACTCTCATAAAGCAAGTGTTGGTGACAGTATACCAGCCGTCGTCCTAAAGAAATGTGCTTCTGATCTGGCACTAGTTCTCTCCAAACTCTATAGGTATTTTTTCTCTGACTCTTGCTTTCCAGCCTCTTAGAAATCTTCATTTGTTGTCTCTGTCTTTAAGAACTCTGGAGACCCTTCTGGGCCATCTAACTACCGTCTTATCAGTCTCCTATCACTCTTTGGCAATGTCTTCGTGGCTTTAATCAATGCCGAAGTGGTTAAGCACCTTAGATCTAAAGATCTACTCTCTGACAAACAATATGATTTTCGATTTTCACGATTCTACCGCTGATGTGCTTATAGACATAACTGAATATGTATACCAAGCTCTTGATATTAACGGCTCTAGATATCTCGAAGGCAGTTGACAGGGTTTGGCATGCCGGCCTTCTTCGTAAGCCTCACGGACACGGTATTACAGGACTGTTATTTGATGTAATACAATCATTCCTGTCAAACTGTGAAATGAAAGTCGTTCTAAACGGGTTTTCCTCCAGTTCCTTTCATACGAACGCTGGTGTTCCCCAACGTTCTATACTGGGCCCTACACTGTTCCTGATATTCACCAACGATCTTCCTGATGTCATCAACTGACATCTACGCTGACGACACTACTATTTACTCCTGTCTCAATAGTAAATCCGGCATTGCTTACAAAACTAACCTGCCAGTTGGTTTCGAAAAGGATTGACTAGTGGAAGAAATGGCTTGTAAACTTTAATGCCTCCAAAACGAAAACAGCTCTCATTTACCCACCACAGAGAAACCTCTCTGCCTCCTATCAGGATGGATGGTGCCCAACTCCACGAGAGCGTCACTCTGCGCCTGCTTGGTCTCACACTTTCCACCTGAGGTGGAACAACTACATCAGGGGTGGCCAACCTTTTGATTCCATGTACGATTTTGTACGATTAATTTAAATGCGCCACACAGACATTCACTTCCTTTCTGTACGTGTTGTAATATGGACATATTTTAAAGTTATAATAAAATCTATTTATTTGAAAAATATATGCTTATGACTAGAGGCGTATCCTTTTAGCACTTTCGCAAAGGACGTGCAATAAATATAAAATCCCTGAATTGAATGAGTAGAAGTGGATTAGTTTCTTTTCATCAAAAGGATGCAATGCGCCACTTGTAAGCATCCAATGCGCCACTTATAGCGCATGCGCCACAGGTTGGCCATCCTTGAACTACATTGTCAACATGGAAAAAAAATCACACCCTTAATCAAAAAAAAAAAAAAGAAAAGAAAAAGTTACTAATATCCAAAGAGAGGCTTACACGGGAACGTCTTTTAAAATTTTTGAATTTTATGTCATTTCGCTTTTGTTTATCATCCCTTGTCTTGATAAAGTCAAATGACGAAACGCGTCGGCAAAGACTAATCATTATTTTCCGATTGTTTATTTTATTCAATTTGTCTTCCTCAACAGATTTATTCTGAGAAATTTGAGACACACGCACACATTTAGAAGGATGCGTTATTACAGAATGATTATTTCATTTAATCCAACCATTCCTGTCAAACTGTGAAATCAACGGTGTCATAAACGGTTTCTCCTCCGAACCCTGGTATTCATACGAACCCTGGTATTCCCATTGCTCTATCCTTGACCCTACACTGTTTCTAATCTTCATCAACTATCTTCCTGATGTTATCAGTTCTCAAGGAGGTATCTACGCAGACGACACTACCATTTATTCCGATAATAATTAAATGTTTAAAAAATGCTGTAATAACAACACGAAGTAGTAACTTATAATGTTTTATTTGGCTAATTCAGCTTTAGCGCTGAAAAACGTTTATTTTATTGTGATGGATGGTATATCAACCTCAATGGGTCATTTAATGCCGACAACTTTTTTCTGGTAATATTTTGTTTTGTCAATAAATCTATTTCAGGTAATATTTTTTTCCTCAAAAATGTATAGGTGGTAATATTATTTTAAAAAATGTATTGCTGGTAATATTTTTTTTCAAAAACGTACTGCTGGTAATAGTTTTTTGTCTTCAAAAAATTATTTATGGTAATAATTTTCTATAAAGTATTTCGGGTATTAAAACCTATTTTTACATTTTTATAATGCTTTTTACCTCAGTTTCGGGGTTAACTATTTGCACACAGCTGGGACTCTAACAGGTGTTACTACCCCGGGTCAGGGTGGACCTGGGAACAGCTGCAATTAAGAGGCGGTTCCACGCTCCTCAAAACCTGATCAAAGGCCTTGCTTCTGGGCGTAGTTTATCGTCTTACCCAAGACGAGTTGATTGAAGGAGATTGCACTGGGCTGTAGCATGAGTTACCGTAACTGAGGTCTGAATTCAGGGGATTAGATGTTATTGTCCTCATCTTCGTTGTTATTTTCACAATGTTTCGGCCATTGTGACCTCCTGACTTCTTCAGGTGCTTCTAGATCCGGGTAACCTTCATGGAATTTCGAACTGAACGCTTTATTAAATCTACAGAGTTAGGTTGTTCTCATTAAGCTGACCTTATCTCAGGATGTCTCGTCTCGTTCCTAGTGCTGTTCCGTTATTTATCGCCCTGTTTTCATTTAGTCCACATACACACTGTTGAAAAGCTATTCGGAAAAATCCACCGAACTGAAAACGAGCGTCAAAACGATGTCAAATAGCGCGTCGAAAAAACCTTTATTTTATTGTGATGGATGGTTCAAGCGTGAGGGGATGATGTGGTGTTCTTGATTTATTACTACTAATGTTATTGTTCGATTAAAAAAACCCAAAAAAAACTTATACATCTCTTGATCTGATAAAAACAAACTTTTGATTTTATTTGGTCAATTCAGGATAAACGTTTATTTTATTGTGATGGATGGTTACAAGCGTGAGGGGTGATGTGGTGTTCTTATTTTATTACTACTAATGTTATTGTTCGATTAAAAAAAAACCCAAAAAACTTATACATCTCTTGATCTGATAAAATTAAATGCTTAAAATTACAACTCTAAGTTGAAGCATCTATTTGGTCAATTCAGCTTTAGATAAACGTTTATTTTATTGTGATGTATGGTTAAAAGCGTAATATGTAAATACTAATGTTTATTAAAAAAAACCAAAAACTTATACAATCTCTTAAAATTACAACTCTAAGTTGAAGCTTATGAAGCGGTATTTGGTCAATTCAGCTTTAGCGCTTATAAACGTTTATTTTATTGTGATGGATGGTTAAAAGCGTGAGGGGATATGTGGTGTTCTTATTTTATTACTACTAATGTTATTGTTCGATTAAAAAAAAACCCAAAAAACTTATACATCTCTTGATCTGATAATAATTAAATGCTTAAAAATTACAACTCTAAGTTGAAGCTTATGAAGCGGTATTTGGTCAATTCAGCTTTAGCGCTTATAAACGTTTATTTTATTGTGATGTATGGTTAAAAGCGTGAGGGGATATTTTATTACTACTAATAAAAAAAAAAAAAAACTTATACATCTCTTAAAATAATTAAATGCTTAAAAATAAACTCTAAGTTGAAGCTTATGAAGCGGTATTTGGTCAATTCAGCTTTAGCGCTTATAAACGGTATGGATGGTTAAAAAGTTATTTTAATACTACTAATGTTATTGTTCGATTAAAAAAACCAAAAAACTTAAATCTCTTGATCTGATAATAATTAAATTTTTACAACTCTAAGTTGAAGCTTATATTTGGTCAATTCAGGTAAACGTTTATTTTATTGTGATGGATGGTTACAAGCGAGAAGGAAGATGCGGTTTGCTTATTTTATTACAACAACTGAAATTAATGTGAAGGAAAGATATTAGAACAATTTTTGTAGATTTGGAAAGTCGGGAAATATGAAAGCATTTGTGAATGCGCGTAGAAAAGTAAGTTGAAGAGAAATTTAGGTTAAAACTGACATAGAATAAAAAAAGCAAGATCGAAAAGGAACAATTCGTAACGTTTCAAACGTCTAAAAATCAAAATGGAGAGTAAAGATTAGTAGCGGTCCGGTATAGTCTAGACATCGACATAAACGTAAAAAGCAACACCTTGATAGAATAAAGCGAATAAGAATATTTCGAAAATGTCTATAAAGTAATGGACGTAATAATTAGCCAATTCTTCAGAGTCGAGAAAGTGAAACAAGAAAAAACACGTCTATAAAGTATAGAGTGTAGGAAACATGGATAAAAAACATGAGAAAATGAGAGAGCGCGAGAAAGAAAGAGACAGATAGAGAGAGAAATCGAGAAAGAGAGGGAAAGATAAAGAGACGGAGAGAAATTGAGACATTTAGAGATGGTCAGAAATGATAGAATTTTTTTTTCAGAAGATAGAGAAAGAGAGTGGGGGGAGAAAGAGAGAGAAAAATAAAGAGAGAGAGAAAGTAAGACATTTAGAGATGGTCTGAAATGATAGACCTTTTTTCAGAAGATAGAAAAAGATAGGGGGCGAGAAAGTGAGAGAAAGATAGTGAGAGAAAGTGAGACATTTAGAGATGGTCAGAAATGATAGAAATTTTTTTTCAGAAGATAGAGAAGAGAGGGGAAGAAAGAGAGAGAGAGTAAGATAAAGAGAGAGAGAAAGTGAGACATTTAGAGATGGTCTGCAATGATAGATTTTATTTTCAAAAGATATATAGAGAGAGAAATCGAGAAAGAGAGGGAAAGATAAAGAGACAGAGAAATTGAGACATTTAGAGATGGTCAGAAATGATAGAATTTTTTTTTCAGAATATAGAGAAAGAGAGCGGGGGGAGAAAGAGAGAGAGAGAGAGAAATCGAGAAAGAGAGGGAAAGATAAAGAGAGAGAAAGTGAGACATTTAGAGATGGTCTGAAATGATAGACTTTATTTTCAGCAGATAGACAGAGAGAGAGAGAGAGAGAGAAATCGAGAAAGAGAGGGAAAGATAAAGAGACAGAGAGAAAGTCAGACATGTAGAGATGGTCTGAAATGATAGATTTTTTTTCAGAAGATAGAGAAAGAGTGTGGCTAGAAAGAGAGAGATAGATAAAGAGAGAGAGAAAGAGAAAGAGGAAGTGAGACATTTAGAGATGGTCAGAAATGATAGACTTGATTTTCAGACGATAGAGAGAGAGGGCGAGAGGGAGAAAGAAAGATAAAGAGAGAGAAAGTGAGACATGTATAGATGGTCTGAAATGATAGATTTGATTTTCAGAAGATTGAGAGAGCGAGAAAGAGAGTGAATGATAAAGTGAGACAGAAAGTGAAACATTTAGAGATGGTCTGAAATAGACTTTATTTTCGGAAGAGAGAGAGAGAGAGAGAGAGAGAGAGAGAGAGAGAGAGAGTTAGGCCGAGAAAGATAAAGAGAGAAAGAAAGTGAGACATGTAGAGATGCTCTGCAGTGGTAGATTTTATTTTCAGAAGAGAGAGAGAGCTAGAAAGAGATGGAAAGATAAACAGAGAGAAAGAGATGGTGAGACATTTAGAGGTGGTGTGAAATTGTAGATTTTATTTTTAGAATATAAAAGAGAGAGAGAGAGAGTGCGAGAAAGAAAAATAGAGAGAGAATGTAGGACATTTTGAAATGGTTTGTAATGAAGAGAAACAGAGTGAGAAAAAGAGGAAAGATATATATATATATATATATATATATATATATATATATATATATATATATATATATATAGAGAGAGAGAGAGAGAGAGAGAGAGAGATAATATTAGTGGAAAATATACATACATATGAAAAATATATCTAAAAATTCCCATACATGTATATTTTCAGAAAAAATTTTTTCCAAGAGGAAGGATCCAGGTAGAACTCAATGTCTAAGACAGAGTAAGGATATAATAAAAGGCTTAAACACTAATATTCCATGGTCATAATTTATTCCATTGGAATCGTAAATACGATCCAAATCATCAGACCTACAAATTCAAAATGAAAACAGAAAAAAAACAACTCCGGAAATCAAAACAGAATTTAGAGAAAGTGTAAGTATGAGGATGAGTGACAGAAAGAATTTTTGGAGATGTGGGTGGGGTGGATTTAAAAAGAGGAGAGAAAGAAAGTCGACGAATGTCTAATACATAAAGATACATTTCGTGGTGACATATACACACCACAGACAATTCGGATAGGAAGGGAAAAAAAAAAAAAAAAAAAAAAAAAAGGAAGGGGGGGGGAGAGGGATGGGACGAAGGAAAATAAAATTGTGTTTACTTAAAATTTAAAATATGAAGATGAATATAACGATTGTCTCATTTCGCAAGGACCAAATATTTCTATGTTCAAAAACACATACTAATACACAAAAAAAAAAAAAAAAAAAAACATATACAAGTAGGTACATACACTTAGGCATGTACACATACACACACCCATATATATATATAGAAAGAGAGAGAGAGACACAGAGAGACAGAGAAAGTGAGGGAAAGATAAAGAAAGAGTGAGAGAAAGTGCGATATTTAGAGATGGTGTGAAATGGTGGATTTTATTTGCAGAAGAAAGTAAACACAAAAGGAAATTTATCGGAGGAGGGAAATTTGTCAAAAATCAAGAAATAATTCAGTCGAGTGATGTTCTGGGTTGTGAAGATAAATTAAACGCTTGAATTGGCAAGCGGAAGTTGAGTGTGATTGATGCAATGACGAAGAAGGAACACTTCCGTTGTTTTCTGTTGATACAATCATCTTGATAGGCAATCAATATATCATATTTAATTATCTATTCATTTCTTTCATGTAATTGCTCCCTTAAAAAACAACAAATATCGATTTATTGATTTTCTGTTCTTCGATTTCATCACATCTTTTTCTCGGGTTCTTTCTCTTTGGGTTTTCAAGGTTTGTTTATTTCTTTCCAAAAAAATTCCTTACTTTACCCTCTCCAATCTTTGCTTCATTCTTTCCAATTACTTTCTTAAAGAATCTTTCTTTCTTTCTTTCTTTCGTTCTTTCTTTCTTTCTTTCTTTTTCTTTTTTTTCTTTCTTTCGTTCATTCTTTCTTTCTTTCTTTCTTTCGTTCGTTCGTTCGTTCTTTCTTTCTTTCTTTCGTTCGTTCTTTCTTTCTTTCATTCATTTTTCTTTCTTTCTTTCTTTCTTTCTTTCTTTCGTTCGTTCGTTATTTCTTTCTTTCATCCATTCATTCATTCTTTCTTTCTTTCTTTTGTTTTTCTTTCTTTTGTCTTTCTTTCTTTCTTTCTTTCTTTCTTTCTTTCTTTCTTTCTTTCTTTCTTTCTTTCTTTCGTTCGTTCTTTCTTTCTTTCTATCGTTCGTTCGTTCGTTCTTTCTTTCATTCATTCATTCTTTCTTTCTTTTGTTTTTCCTTCTTTCTTTTGTTTTTTTTTCTTTCTTTCTTTCTTTCGTTCTTTCTTTCTTTCTTTCTTTCTTTCTTTCTTTCGTTCGTTCGTTATTTCTTTCTTTCATCCATTCTTTCTTTCTTTCTTTCTTTTGTTTTTCTTTCTTTCTTTCTTTCGTTCGTTCTTTCTTTCTTTCTTTCGTTCGTTCTTTCTTTCTTTCTTTCATTCATTCTTTCTTTCTTACTTTCTTTCTTTTGTTTTTCTTTTTTTCTTTCTTTCTTTCTTTCTTTCGTTCGTTCGTTCTTTCTTTCTTTCTTTCTTTCTTTCGTTCGTTCTTTCTTTCTTTCTTTCATTCATTATTTCTTTCTTTCATTCATTCTTTCTTTCTTTTGTTTTTCTTTCTTTCTTTTGTTTTTCTTTCTTTCTTTCTTTCTTTCTTTCTTTCGTTCGTTCTGTCTTTCTTTCTTTCTTTCTCTCGTTCGTTCGTTATTTCTTTCATTCATTCATTCTTTCTTTCTTTCTTTCTTTTGTTTTTCTTTCTTTCTTTCTTTCGTTTGTTCGTTTTATCTTTCTTTCTTTTTTTCTTTCTTTCTTTCTTTCTTTCTTTATTTCAGCAAGAAAATTTTCACAGTAAAACAGATTTTACTGTCAACCTTTCTTTCTTTCTTTCTTTCTTTCTTTCTTTTCTCTTTGGATCTCTCTTTCCTTCTTTTCTTTCTTTTTTTCTTTCTGTTTTCGTTCTTCAAGAAATTTTTCAGAAAATATCTTCTATTTACTTTCAACTGTTATTTTCTATTTTTTTTCTTTTCCTTCTTTCTTAATTTTATGCAAGCAATTTTTTACAAAAAATCCTTTTTTTTGTTTTCAACTATATTCTTTCTTTCTTTCTTTCTTTCTTTCTTTCTTTCTTTCTTTCTTAATCCTATAATTTTTTTTTATTTCATTGTCTTCTTACAACCCCTACCCATTCACTCTTTCATAATTTCATTTCTTGTTTATTATTTTGTAAATTTTTCAGTTTTTGTTTACCTTAATTTTTTATTAATTTAAAATCTTTTTTTTTTTTGTTTTTACTCCATCGAAGGGTGAGCATCTGTTTTTAATTAGGCATGTGCATTGGTAGCACTTCTGGGCTGCGATGCGTTATTTCAGATTCAATTCCCGGTCCAAAAAAAAAAAAAAAAAAATGAAACAAAATAACATATACATAGCATCACTCTCTCACAAACACACACGCACACTTCCGCTTTTAGTAGCACATACGCGCATGCGCACACACTCAAAGGTCTCCATGACCAATCAACCAACCGAAGAAACATCAAAATCAAAGAAATAGATTAAAAAAAATAACTGTAATTCGGCAAGTTTCTTTTTCATTTGTTTTCTTATTCTCGATTTAAACGTCCGGAATATCATTTCAAAACTCTTTGGCGCCAAGAACCAGTTCCTAACTTCATTAAAAGAGAAGGGTCATTTATTTAATCACCTTGTTTATGACTAGCGCACTGGAAGTATTTAGAAATATCATTAAAAAAATTCTTCAAAATTAAAATCATTAAAAACTTGACAAGTGATTTATTTCTGCATTTAAGAACGCAATAAAAAATCTATATAAAAACAAACAAAATGAAACTCATATCCAAATGAAAATTATAAATTCAATAATTAATAATAAGGACTGTATTTATAAGATGCATCACACGCTCCCACCCACAAAAATTTAAATCGGAAAAAAATTTCCTTGTATTCATAGCCCATCACACTATCCCTCATTTTACCAATTGAATAGCATATTTTAGCATAGTGTGACGTCGTCCTCCGGTCGCAGCGCCAACTGTGACGTTCTATCCTGATCTACCACGGCGCCAGTTGTGACGTGGCCGTTCCAGGGTCCTATCCCGGTGACGACACCAGTTGTGACGTCCCTAAACAGCACCAATTGTGACGTCTTCGCCGCGGCGCCAGCTGTTCGCTCCTCGCTGCTCCGTCTGGGTGTCGCTGCTCCAAACGTGACGTCCGCCTGTCGCGTCAGTCGTGTTGTCTCGTACTGTGACGACCAACTGGCTTGGTATCGGTCGCGGCACCCAAATGTGACGTTCTAACCTTTTGGTGATTCGGGTGGGAATCTGGTTAGATTTGATATCAGCCTCGCCGTTCCCAACTCGCTTCCAACGCCTGGTTACCAAGGTAACTGCACTGATCTCCAGTCTGCCTACCCACGCTGTGAATTGATCTTAGACAGACGAGATCAAACAGTGGTTGGGGCCGTAATGCAAATTGAGTTCAACGGGCGTGATAACACAAATATGCATAAAAGAAAATAAAATGAAAACTCAAAAAGTTCAAAGTATCAAAGAAAAAAAAGTAACAAACTTTATGTCTAGTTGTTCGATACATAGGACTGCATCTATCTCCCGACCCGTTCTGTGGATTGTGACACGTCGTTTTGGCTAGGCAAGTTTTAACGCTTCAAGTTGTTTGCTCTCTAAGAAATTTGTGTTTCTGTGTGTCTTTGGACGAAAGTCGAAAAAACTTATTTCGGTGGTCTGGTCCTAAGTCGCTCTTCAAAATAATTGTTCTTGGTTGAAGAGGAGTCCGGAATTTTGCGTGAATCTTGGTCAGCTATCTCGAGGCGGCTTCAACTCTGGAAACTGGAGCTCGAACTATCTGGACACTCATCTCCGCCGCCAGGGCTCGAACTTTCTGGACACTCATCTCTGCCGCCAGGGCCCGAACTGATTTCTGCCTGTTGGGGCTTTTTATTGACGCCGACCAAAA